CGGGACCAGTACGGCTGGCGATGCCCCCGCCTCTATCTCTCCCCTCTGGCCCAGTGGAGAGCGACCCCGGCTTGTAGTCCGAGGGTCGGTGGTTCGATTCCCATTGCCTTCCCGTTCGCGATTAGCTTTTTTCACCAGCCCGATGACGTATGTCTCAATGATGTCTCCAGCATGTCTTGACTGCCTTTCCCCGCGTTGTCTCTAGAGTGGCTACAGTGTAGATCAAAGTTCTTGTCTCAGGAATGTCTCTTTTTCGTGACAAAGTAGACTTGCTGGTGACTTCTTGGATCCATTCTTGCGACAGCACTGTCGTCTCAGCTGAGTCTCACGAATGACTTGGCGATGGATCAGCAATGACTTAATTTTGTCGCATATTAGGATCAAAAGCGGGTGTGCGATGGATGCAGTTTGTCTCTAGAATGAAGAAGAGTGAGCCAGCTCTGATCCCATTCGTTTTGTACGGGTAATCCTTCGCAATACAAAGATCAAAAATTCTTTGCAACGTTGCAAAGAATTTACTTTGCAAGCATTTTACAGTGCATTCTAAATTTCTTTCGGTCATTTTTCGATAGTCAGAATCATAATCAATCCGTCTCGATCACGTCCTGGCGAGGGCGGATGGCCGGCCTTCCCCGCCCCCCACCCCCACGTCAATGCGAAGGAATGCCTCTTGTTTTTGTTTATGGGCAACATTTAAAACTGCATAGGTACCACAAAGGTATGGTGCGCAGCAAAAGTAACTACTTTCAATTATTCTATTCCATCCCAGTCATTTTCTAATCTTTTGATTATGTTTCGATCAATTTTCAATCATTTTTTATTTAATCAATCATTTTTCAATCATCCAATCATTTTTCAATCACCCAATCATTTTTCAATCATCCAATCATTTTTCAATCATCCAATCATTTTTCAATCATCCAATCACCGACCGGTCATATCAATTCAAATTTTGATCATTTTCGATCATTGCCAATCTTTTTTTCGCTCTAGATCACCTTTCGATCACATTCGGTCACTCAACCAATGTTAAATCTTTCGGTCACTAACAGATCAAATCCATCAATTTCAATCAATCGTCGATCTCCCGGTCACCGATCGGTGTACACCCGAAATCGAAGTTACGTCCCCCTCGGTACTCCCCCAGGGTGGAGTCCACAATCCCTAGGGCA